TCCAGGAGCTTCCTTGTACCTGTAGACTTTAAGCAAAACAGAAAAAACATTTTCAAGTAATAGAGTTAGAATGTTTGAGAATTTTTGTCTAGTTAGCCGTTATTGTTTAAAATATCATTCTTGTTCTCCCCCTTTTTGTCAGCAATCAAAAAGTGTAAGTGATGTGCTAAAACAATTAAGATCAGAAAAACTTATCATATTGAAATGGTTCAGAATCAAAACATGAAAATAGTACAAAACATATTCAAACAGTACATCAGAAAATCAAAGAAAACATGAAAAAGACATGAATGAAAAAAGACTAAGGTTGAGGAGGCAAGCGTGTGAACAGGTTCTCCAGCATGGCTTTGATCTGGTCAGCAGTCTCATTCTGCTTGTGCACCATGCTGACAACAGTGTCAATCTTGCTATCCTGCACATCCATTCTTTCTTTCATCTTCTGGTCGTTTTCATCCATCCTCTGCTGCAGACGCATGTCATTCAGCTTTAGTTCTTCCAGAGTCTGCCTGTCCAAGGCAGCTTGAGAAGCATCAGAAGCAGGAAGCTTCTGAGAGCTTTCTGCAACATCTTCTGCTTGACTTTCTTCAGCTTGAATAGTCTTGTCTTCTTCTGGTTGCACCTTTGAAGCTGGCTGTTTCTCAGACCAAGGTTCACTATCCAAAGGGAGCACGTCTTCTTTCAGATCTTCTGTATCCAGAGGAAGAATCTGTCCTTCTGTATCTGGAAGAAGACTCGTTCTGATCAGATCTTCTGGGATTCCTGAACTTCCTTTGTCTTTTCTTCCACAGTTGATTTACTCTTCTGGAGAGGAGGGAGAGTTCGTCTTCTTCTGATGAGGATCCATCAGATGTTTCTTCAACTGCCTGCAAAACTTTAGACTCAAATTTTTTGTTAGATTTTAATGCTAAAGGCTTACCTTGCTTCTGAGGCTCGTCAGCTTCTAGCTCTATCTCATGACTTCTGAGGGAGCTGATAAGTTCCTCCAGAGTGATTTTGTTGAGATCTTTAGCTAGCTTCAGAGCTGTAACCATAGGTCTCCACTGCTTGGGTAAACTTCTGATGATTTTCTTGACATGGTCAGCAGTAGAGTATCCTTTGTCCAGAACTTTGAGACCAGCTACCAGAATCTGGAATCTAGAGAACATGGTTTCAATGGATTCAGATTCTTCCATTTTGAACGCCTCATACTTCTGAATGAGCGCCAGAGCTTTTGTTTCTTTGACCTGAACGTTGCCCTCATGCGTCATTCTGAGTGAGTCAAAAATATTCTTTGCTGTGTCTCTGTTGGAGATCTTTTCATACTCAGTATAGGAGATGGCGCTGAGGAGGATGGTTCTGGCCTTGTGGTGATTCTTGAAGTCACGCTTTTGTTGGTCAGACATTATTTTTCTATCAATCTTCTGACCGCTTGCATTCACAGGGTGCGTGTATCCGTCTGTCACCATATCCCACAGATCAGCATCATGTGCCAGAAAGAAGCTTTCAATTCTGTCTTTCCAGTAATCAAAGTTTTCTCCATCAAAGACTGGAGGTTTGCCGCTGAATCTGTCTCTGTCCTCATTGTTGTCATTGCTGATGTGAGAGTTATTTCCTGCCATTGTGTTTTTCTGACGCTGGATCTTGTACTGACACGGTTAAGTGTTTTAGCTCAGAACCAGGCGCTCTGATGCCAATTGAAGTGGTGAAAAACACAAGAAGGGGGGGTTGAATTGTAAAACTGAAATCTAATGCAATGAACAAGATATTTTTATCCTGGTTCGTTTGATCTCAAACTACTCCAGTCCACCCGTCAAGGTGATTTCGCCTCTCTCCAACGAGGTCTTAATCCACTATATTCAACTGAATATTACAGACTGCTTTAACAACTACTAAAGCCTTCTTGATGCAAACCACAACCCGGTTTGTCAAGGAAACACTTTCTTACAAAGAGATAAAATCTAAGTGTGTGAATGTTTTCTACAAAACTGTATCACAACTGTGATGTATACACAACTTAAAGCTTAGAAACTAGATTGCTAAACAATGATTGAATATCAGAGTGTGTAGTGTTTAGCAAAACTGAAAGAAGGAAGATTTTGATCAGCTTTTTATGCGTGTAGAGATTTAGAGAGCATTAGCCATTTCAATCTTCAAAGTCTTGTTTATATAACACTGGGATGTTGAACGTTGGATGCAATATTCTTGATTCAATGCTAATAACAAACTTTCCTTATCGAGCAGATCTTGTCTGGAATGAGGCCGTTGGTATTAATTTGCTTTCAATGCACAGTACCGTTGCTTACTTAATGCAAGTTCTGGCTTGGCTCATTCTGACTCTGCTTAGCTGCTGATGAACTGTTGTGTTTCTTTATCAGAGTGTTGAGCGCAATCTTGTTCATCAGGCTTCAGCATGTACGTGAGTTGATCATCTGATTCTGACATTCTGATATAGCAACTTCTGATGCTGATGTCTGAAACCAAATTCTGATGCTGAATAGATGTGATCTTGCTTATATCAATCAGAGTATCTGCAAGTCAGAACATAATAATTTTAGGCAGCAGATAGTTCATACATGAATCATATATATAATATGTCTTTTCACTTTGTTATCATCAAAACTTAAATATAGGGTAGTAGATTCAAACTTTGTTCTAACACCCATGTTGCCTGATTTTTGACAGATTCAGTTTTAAAGTGCTGTAACTTGACTTTTATGATGCCGTTTGAGGTGCCGTTCGAAGCATTGAATAGCTAACGCGATGAACTTTATTTTAGAGGATTAAAATGAAGAATACGAAGTGTAATCCTAGTAGCCAATTTAGGATTTAGAATTAATTCCCGTGTTGATCGTTGTGCTGGTTTTGAACAAAATGATGAATATGAGATGTTTAGAGACTACTGTTTGAATTATGACAGTAGGATTAGTGACAGTAACGATGTAAAATTGCAGAATAGCTGAAGGAATTACTGTAGTATTAACGTACAACTGAGTTGTTGATAAGAATTTGTTAATGAAGTTGTGTTTGATAATTTATGATGAATAAATGATGTTTGATGAATTATTTTGATGATATGAGATGTTGATGATGAGACGTTGAGATGCATTTGAGATGCTGTTATTTTGAGATGCTTTTGAGATGTTAATTTGAGATGTTTTTGAGATGATTTGAGATGTTGTTAACTTGGGTGTTGTTATTACATTCATGGTTGTGTCGCATACATTGTATTTTTTTGAGGTGGAGCTTATGCTCGTTGAGATGGCCTGTATTGGCGAATTTTGAGATGAAGGCTATGCCTTGTTGATGCCTCTATTAATTAGCAAATTTTTGAGATGGGAGTTCTGCTCCAATGGTACCACATGCATTTGTATAGTATTGAGTCACATCATATGATTGCATAAAGAAGTGTATTTTGATGTTGATGATGTGTATATACGTTGTAATTATTGTTGATTATGAGATGAGAAGTGGTGATGTTATTGATCTAATTTAATATATTAATTATCATGCGCTTCATTATATTGTTAGATATCTCACTCCTTCTGTTTGAATGTTGCCCTTATGTTGGTAACATGCAGGTAATCGAGAGTGAAGGTTGTATACCTTCAGTAGTTTGCGTCGGTGTCATTGCTCTGATATGTAACACTCGAGGGATGAACGTTTGCTGATTTTTAATTGTTGATTTTCAGTTGTTGAACTTTAGTTGACTATTATTAAATATGTGTTGTCTCGAAGTTGATGTTTTGTTGTTAAAGATGTTATTGAGAATTCCGCTGCGTAGTATTTGAATTATTTAATTAAAGATGTTATGAAGGTGGTTCATCCGATGTTATTGAAAGTGTTATATATCCACGATGAATGCAATGAATTTGTTAGAAGAATTTGTGACGTCCCGATTCATTTGCATGATTGAAATTTTATAACTCTGATTTATCTATAAAAATTGTCGGGATAGAATTGGGGTGTTACACCTATCATAGACCTGTTTTTTGGCCTGAGTCTGACATTTTTTAAGGTCTAATTAGCCTATTAACCTACTTAAAAATATGTATCATTTGAACATATGTAAATAAGCAATTCAATTAATGTTTTAATATATCAGAGAATCAAAAGTACAATAAAATTAAACGCCTGTTTACATTGACTTATTTGAGCTTACATAGTAGCATAAGTTTGGTGAGAATATTTGTTTGAGAGAACTTATGAAAAATAACGTATGACATTATTCATAAGATTTTTTCTATTTATTTTCACAAGTTCTTCAAGATAATTAACTTTTACTTTTGTATTTTAATATAAAATACAAAATATAATATAATATATATATATATATATATATATATATATATATATATATATATATATATATATATATATATATATATATATATATATATATATATATATATATATATATATATATATATATATATATATATATATATATATATATATATATATATATATATATATATATATATAATAAATTTATTCATATTTATTAAAATGGACCGGTTTAATAGCTTTGAGAGACTTTTTTTATGGTCTAGTCTATTCAATTAAATAGACTTATAAAAAAATCTAGGTCTTTCATACTAAAAAAAAAATGACATAACTTGTGTAAACTAGACCGTAAATTTTTATTAGTTGGTCTGACTTATTCTTACCCTTACCCATGCACTTTTTTTTTCTCTATTATTATTATTAATTAGAATAACTTGAATTTAATTGGATCATTGTGGCAATGACGTGTCATCCTTATCACAAAAATTACATTAAATCCAAACTAATTTTGTATGGTGAAATACCAAAATTGGCCCCAATTTATTATTTATCAAAAAAAGCACAAGGGGCTGTTCAATAATTTTGGTACTAATAATGAGGTTATATGAATTTACTGTGTAACACGATTAGAATTCTAATCGGAGCCCTAAAACGAAACTGCACACGTTTGTGTAGAAATTAAAACTGCAGTGAAGTTGAACCCGCAAAACCCTAAATACAAAATCGAACCCTTAACAATGGCGGTAATGACACGGAATCGACGACGCAAGATGACGGAAGCCACGTCGGAGTCAATAAACACGGTTCTGCCGGTGGAACTAGTGATCGAAATCCTTTCCTTGATCGAGTTAACCAATCCTCTGGAATTAAGATGCGTTTGCAAATGGTGGAATTTGTTAATGGTTGATCCGCAGTTCGTGGAGAGTTACCTCCACAGATCGTTCAGTGATATCATTGGTCTAACTTTGACGGCTATGGAGCACATTGAATCGTTTGAATCGCGTAATGTTTATGTGCCTGCTATTTTTCAAGAAGACGGCGATGACGATGATGAGGATGAAGAAGAAGCAACCGAGTTGCTGATGAACAAGGCGGATCAGTTGGATCGTTTTTTGGTGATTCTTGATTCTATGAAAAGGAATTTGAACACTATGAAAGTTGATATGGTCGCTTTGAAGAAGAGAGTGAAGTGTTTCGAAAGTTTTCTGAAAATTTATCTGAAGTCAGTAGCCGAATCTTCATCCTCTAGCGTCTGATTTTCTTTTCTTCATCTTCATGGTTTTGTTTTCTTGTTTTTTTGAGTTAGTTCAAAGTTGAATGCTAACTATTGTTTTTTGTTCTAATATCTTTGTAGAGATAAATTAATTTTATCTTTAATATATTTTCTAATTTATTAAAAATATTATAATAATATAAATTAAATTTAAAAATTTACTTAAACCCTTCAAAACCTATAATGAATTTAGTTATATCTTCTCTACAACGAAAAAGTTGGACACTACCTCTCTAAAACCCTATTTAGGATTGTTTCAATTATCGTTAGAGCTTCTTCGTTTCATAGTTTTTGAGTTGTTTGGAGATATGAAATCTCTCGTTTTTTTTCTTTTTTTTTTCTAAGTTGAAGGTTGCTTTGTCTTTGAGATCTAGTGGTTTCACATCAGACTCTGGTTGAGATAAGGTTGGTGTGCCCTTGGTTGAGATAAGATTGGTGTGATTTGTATTTATCTGTGTTGTGGTTGGTTAGTTCATCATTCCCATAAAAAACTATAATGAATTAAATTATATCTTCTCTACAACCAAAATGTCGGACACTACCTCACTAAAGCCCATTTAGGATTGTTTCAATTACCATTGAAGCCTCTTTGTCGTGTCTCTGTTAATCTTTGTTTCATAGTGTTTGAGTTGTTGGAGATATGAAAGCTCCTTTTTTTTCTTCTAAAGTTGAAGGTTGCTTCATCTTTGAGATCTAGTGGATTCACATCAGACTCATTGGTGTTCTTACTTTGTGCGCTTGGTTGAGATAAGGTTGAAGTGATTTGTATTTGTCTGTGTTGTGGTCGGTTAGTTCATAATTCCTCAATAGATGAGTTTTATCTTTAAGCCCTAAATCCTAAACTATGAAACAAAGATTAACAGAGACACGACGAAGATACTCCAACGATAATTGAAACAGTCCCAAATATGATGGCTACTTATTGGTTTAAGCTACTTTTTTAATGCTAAGGTTTGTATTCAGATATAGTTCTTGTTTGGATGATATTGTAAAGGGGTGGATTAGTTTGTTCAAAGTTGAATGCCAACTATTGCTTCTTTGTCCTCCTAGCTTTGTAGAGATAAATAAATTTTACCTTTAATATATTTTATAATTTATTAAAAATATTATAATAATATAAATCAAATTTAAGAATTTATCTAAACCTATCAAAAACTAAAATGAATTTAGTTATATCTTCTATACAACCAAAATGTCGGACACTAACTCTCTAAAGCCTTATTTAGGATTGTTTCAATTATCGTTGGAGCCTCTTCATCGTGTCTTTTTTAATCTTTGTTTCATAGTTTTTGAGATGTTTGGAGATATGAAAACTCTTTTTTTTTTAAGTTCAAGGTTGCTTCGTCTTTGAGATCTAGAGGTTTCACATCAGAGTCGATTGTTGTTCTTACTTTGTGCGCTTGGTTGAGATAAGGTTGATGTGATTTGTATTTGTCTGTGTTGTGGTCGGTTAGTTCATCATTCCTTAATAGATGAGTTTTATCTTTAAACCCTAAATCCTAAACTATGAAACAAAGATTAACAGAGACACGACGAAGAGACTATAACGATAATTGAAACAGTCCCAAATATGATGGCTACTTATTGGTTTAAGCTACTTTTTTTAATGCTAAGGTTTGTATTCAGATATTGTTCTTGTTTGGATGATATTGTAAAGGGGTGGATTAGTTTGTTCAAAGTTGAATGCCAACTATTGCTTCTTTGTCCTCATAGCTTTGTAGAGATAAATAAATTTTACCTTTAATATATTTTATAATTTATTAAAAATATTATAATAATATAAATCAAATTTAAGAATTTATCTAAACCTATCAAAAACTAAAATGAATTTAGTTATATCTTCTATACAACCAAAATGTCAGACACTAACTCTCTAAAGCCTTATTTAGGATTGTTTCAATTATCGTTGGAGCCTCTTCGTCGTGTCTCTGTTAATCTTTGTTTCATAGTTTTTGAGATGTTTAGAGATATAAAATCTCTTTTTTTTTTGAAGTTGAAGGTTGCTTCGTCTTTGAGATCTAGTGGTTTCAGATCAGACTCGATTGTTGTTCTTACTTTGTGCGCTTGGTTGAGATAAGGTTTATGTGATTTGCATTTGTCTGTGTTGTGGTCGGTTAGTTCATCATTCCTTAATAGATGGGTTTTATCTTTAAACCATAAACCATAAACTATTAAACAAAGATTAACAGAGACACGACTAAGAGACTCCAACGATAATTGAAACAATCCTAAATATGGTGGCTACTTTTTGGCTTAAGCTACATTTTTTAATGCTAAGGTTTGTATTCAGATATTGTTCTTGTTTGGATGATATTGTAAAGGGGTGGATTAGTTTGTTCAAAGTTGAATGCCAACTATTGCTTCTTTATTCTCATAGCTTTGTAGAGATAAATGAATTATATCTTTAATATATTTTCTAATTTATTAAAAATATTATAATAATATAAATTAAATTTAATAATTAATTTAAACCCATCAAAAACTATATTGAATTCAGTTATATCTTCTCTACAACCAAAATGTCATACACTACCTCTCTAAAGCGCTATTTAGAATTGTTTCAATTATATTTGGAGCCTCTTCGTCGTGTCTTTGTTAATATTTGTTTCATAGTTTTTGAGTTGTTGGAGATATGAAAGCTCTTTTTTTTTTATGTTCAAGGTTACTTCGTCTTTGAGATCTAGTGGTTTCACATCAGACTCGATTGTTGTTCTTACTTTGTGCTCTTGGTTTAGATAAGGTTGATGTGATTTGTATTTGTCTGTGTTGTGGTCGGTTAGTTCATCATTCCTTAATAGATGAGTTTTATCTTTAAACCCTAAATCCTAAACTATGCAACAAAGATTAACAGAGACACGACGAAGAGACTCCAACGATAATTGAAACAATCCCAAATATGGTGACTACTTTTTGGTTTAAGCTACTTTTTTTAATGCTAAGGTTTGTATTTAGATATTTTTCTTGTTTGAATGATATTGTAAAGGGTTGGATTAGTTTGTTCAAAGTTGAATGGCAACTATTGCTTCTTTGTTCTCATAGTTTTGTAGAGATTAATGAATTTTATCTTTAATATATTTTATAATTTATTAAAAATATTATAATAATATAAATTAAATTTAAGAATTTATTTAAACCCATCAAAAACTATAATGAATTTAATTATATCTTCTTTACAACCAAAATGTCGGACAATACCTCTCTAAAGCCCAATTTAGGATTGTTTCAATTACCATTGGAGCCTCTTCGTCGTGTCTTTGTTAATCTTGGTTTCATAGTGTGTTGTTGGAGATATGAAAGCTCCTGTTTTTTTAAGTTGAAGGTTGCTTCGTCTTTGAGATCTAGTGGTTTCACATCAGACTCATTGGCGTTCTTACTTTGTGCGCTTGGTTGAGATAAGGTTGATGTGATTTGTATTTGTCTGTGTTGTGGGCGGTTTGTTCATCATTCCTTAATAGATGAGTTTTATCTTTAAACCCTAAATCCTAAACTATGAAACAAAGATTAATAGAGACACGGCGAAGAGACTCCAACGATAATTGAAACAGTCCAAAATATGGTGGCTACTTTTGGTTTAAGCTACTTTTTTTAATGTTAAGGTTTGTATTCAGATATTGTTCTTGTTTGGATGATATTGTAAAGGGGTGGATTAGTTTGTTCAAAGTTGAATGCCAACTATTGCTTCTTTGTCCTCATAGCTTTGTAGAGATAAATAAATTTTATCTTTAACATATTTTATAATTTATTAAAAATATTATAAAAATAAAAATGAAATTTAAGAATTTATCTAAACCCACTAAAAACTATAATGAATTTAGTTATATCTTCTATACAACCAAAATGTCGGACACTACCTATCTAAAGCCCTATTTAGGATTGTTTCAATTATCGTTGGAGCCTCTTCGTCGTGTCTATGTTAATCTTTGTTTCATAGTTTTTGAGTTGTTGGAGATATGAAAGCTCTTTTTTTTTTAAGTTGAAGGTTGCTTCGTCTTTGAGATCTAGTGGTTTCACATCAGACTCGATTCTTGTCCTTATTTTGTGCGCTTGGTTGAAATAAGGTTGATGTGATTTGTATTTGTCTGTGTTGTGGTCGTTTAGTTCATCATTCCTAAATAGATGAGTTTTATCTTTAAACTCTAAATCTTAAACTATGAAACAAAGATTAACAAAGATACGACGAAGAGACTCCAACGATAATTGAAACAATCTTAAATATGGTGGCTACTTTTTGGTTTAAGCTACTTTTTTTAATGCTAAGGTTTGTATTAAGATATTATTCTTGTTTGGATGATAATGTAAAGGGTGGATTAGTTTGTTCAAAGTTGAATGCCAACTATTACTTCTTTGTCCTCATAGCTTTCTAGAGATAAATAAATTTTATCTTTAACATATTTTATAATTTATTAAAAATATTATAATAATAAAAATCAAATTTAAGAATTTATCTAAACCCATCAAAAACTATAATGAATTTAGTTATATCTTCTATACAACCAAAATGTCGGACACTACCTATCTAAAGCCCTATTTAGGATTGTTTCAATTATCGTTGAAGCTTCTTCGTCGTGTCTCTGTTAATCTTTGTTTCATAGTTTTTGAGTTGTTTGAGATATGAACGCTCTTTTTTTTTAAGTTCAAGGTTGCTTCGTCTTTGAGATCTAGTGGTTTCACATCAGACTCATTGGTGTTCTTACTTTGTGCGCTTGGTTGAGATAAGGTTGATGTGATTTTTATTTGTCTGTGTTGTGGTCGGTTAGTTAATCATTCCTTAATAGATGCGTTTTATCTTTAAACCCTAAATCCTAAATTATGAAACAAAGATTAACAGAGACACGACGAAGAGACTCCAACGATAATTGAAACAATCTTAAATATGGTGGCTACTTTTTGGTTTAAGCTACTTTTTTTAATGCTAAGGTTTGTATTCCGATATTGTTCTTGTTTGGATGGTATTGTAAAGGGTGGATTAGTTTGTTCAAAGTT